TCCGGGTACCTCCCATACAAAATTGTCCGAAAATCGGTAATTTTAGTCAAAATTTCAAAAGATTTGTTTGCGAGGTACCCGTTAATCGATTTCGATTGGTTTCAAACTTTCAGAATCTTACTTTTATCCCAAAAAATTAAATCTCAGACGGTTTGAGGCCAATCGGAATCGATTTACGGGTACCTCCCATACAAAAGTGTCATTTTTTTTAGGTTTTTCTTAGGGCGAGTACCCCAGGGTCAAATCGAAAATGCCTCATCTTCCAACTTAAACTAAGTTTATTGGATACAAAACTGTTGGAACTTTCAGATTTGGATTATCTCAATTATTTTTTGAGTTATTGTGTTAACAAACACCAACGACGACGACGACGGCGGCACACGAACGGAAAAGTGTCTCAAAAAGTGGTTTTCCACGTGTTTCATGAGTTTTTATGATGATCTAAGCTAATTTTGCGAAAAAAAAAGTTTTCGGGATCAATTCCTATACTTTCCCCTGACACGTTGTGTACGGAAAAGTAACAACGGCAAATTGATTTCTTCTCTGGTTCCTTTCGTTGGCTTTGCTGTTTCAATTTATCGGTTAAAATCGAGGTAACAGATGGCTGGCCCACTGACATACAGCTCCAACTTTTTCGGAGAGTGAGAGCAAAAAAAAAACGATTTTACGTTAAACCGTTTGTGCCAATTGGATTGATTGTTTTCCAAATGTCAGGAGAATTTAGATGAAGTTCATTATCTTTTGTCCAAAGTTTTCGTCAAATGTTTCGAGGTAGGAGAAAAAATGGCGGAAAAAAATAGCAAACTCGTTACACAAAGTAAATTGCACTTTTTTTTTCAATTAATTCTCTTAGAAATTACTTTGAGTGTTATAACTTTGCCCGTTCACATGCATGTGGCGGATGTGGATGTAATATTTTGAAACCTGTCAATCGCACACATTGAAAATCAGTAAAAATTATTGGGCCAGAATTAAACGGTTTTCAGTGTGAACCATTCAATTGTGAATGAACATTTGATGAACAACAAAAGAAACATTGCTCAAACAATATTTGGAATAGTGCCTCTGTGATCTATAGCTGGCCAATATTTAACTTAATCCCAAATCGAAAAGTTCCTGTGCTTCTTTTCGTTTAATGATATTTAGAGCAGCAGCGTGACCCGAGAGAACGAATGGGTAATAGAAAAAAATGGGGAAAGTCCCGCCGACATACATGTGTTATGCTAGCCCATATTTTAATGCATTGTTCCGGCAAAAACGTTCGATTCCGTGTGAATATCGATATTGTGGTCAATACGTGTGTGTCTCTCTCTCTGTGTGTGTGAGCTCAACTCGTTTCACAGCGGTCGTTGTCACTAGTCGTTCGACGAGAGCATATGGTTGTAATGGCAAATTGTTGCGTTTTCGAATCGATAAAAATAGCAGGCAAAACACATTCAAATATTTGACACGAACAAATTCTCGGGTCATTTTTCTCTCTTTGTCTCGCTCTATCCCACCGTAATCGGTCCATTAACAGATTGAACACGATGTCATTGTCTCAATACATATGATTTCTCAACTCCATTGGGACCCTCTTGCACTGATTTCCATTTCAATTTTTTTTTTTTTTCATAACAAAGCGATTGATTGTGGCGAGTTTATATAATTTAGCGTATATAAAATGGCCAAATTCCGTGATTTTTTTCTTCTCAATTTCATTCAACAAAGAATGCAATGGAAGTATAGTATTTGCAACTGAGGATTTACTAATTTTACCTGCCATTGCATTACCCTTACTTTACACAAAAATAATCTGCAAAACGATTGCATGCAAACGAATTGTGAACATTGCGATAATTCCACGTTTTTCAAAGCATAAACCCATCTTTGTTTCAACGCTTGCGAGACACAATACAGCAAAAGGCAAAAGCTAGCAAGAACTGTGAATCAATATTCTCCATTTATTATTCAAATGCTTTGGAAAAAAATAGATGAATAAATAATTGATGGCGGATTCCATTGGAGCTCCAATTTGGAGCTTATAAAATGGGCCAAGCCATTATTTTGATAGACGTGATTTTCCATATATATATATAGGGGAGAGTGGGGAATGGTGAAACGCATTTTTACCTAATTTAATGACATGCTAAAAAAATTAAAATTTTTCCAAACTTACAACTCGTACGATATAGTACGTGTAAAAACCTAACTTTTGGCACTTGTCGCTTGTTGAAAATCGAATCGACCTAAAAAATTTGCCCTGTCGGCAAATAACCCTTGATTTTTCGATTTTAAAAAATGGTGGGGAATTGTGAAACGCTTCATAAATCGATAGAAAACTGAAACAATTTTGATGAAAAATGTTTATGGAAAGCTAGAAAACGATAAAAGAAATCACTAGGGGAATATCACGTTCCTGAATCTTGTGAGATATTTGAGATATTTGAAATAAACATCAAATGTATGACATATTTTCGAATATTTCGAATAAATAAATCAGATTTTTGTGAATTTTGGAGATATTTGAGATTTTTTTCATTAAATCCAAATAAATACATTTAAATATCATTCATAATCACAAAAATCCACAATATTCCGCCGTATTCACAAATATCCACCTAATTTCATACGACAGATTCTTAGAGATAAATTGGATTTTTTTGAAATATTTGAAATAATTTAAGCGTGATTTTCCCCTAGAGAAATCATCAATAAAGAAGAATTCGAAAAATAGCGATTTTTATTAGTCGGATTTGCAATTTTTGCCTGTGAAGTAGCTGCTAATCATTTTGGTGTATTTCAAGTGATCAGCTCGAGCGCATAAATTACATTGAATAATTTGCCAAATTTGCGCAAGAAATGTAATAAATATGCATAAAATATGCGAAATCGACTTGAAAAATTGAAAAAATGGTTTGACCAAATTTCGCCACAAAGGGTGTTTCACAATTCCCCACCCACTAAGGTTTGCAACTTGATCGCGTTTGGGGTACTCAATGAATGTTCATGCAAAATTCCTTTTGTGAGTCGAAATATTAATGGTATACGATAATTATAAACATATTCATCTGACCAGTAAAGTTCCCTCATTTTGAATAATTTTTTTTACAAATGCCCATACGCATTCGATAGGGCATCCCTCAAAACCTCCGAAACAATATTTCTTTTCGTTGCGATTTTCCCGGGTGTGGTTTTAGGGGAGCTCAAAGTTGGCACCCCCACTTTTTCCGGGGTTTTCTAAAAAGTGTCTTTGAAAAAATTGTAGATCTTGTCAAGATATAAAACTTTGCTGAACAATTTATCCCCAAAAAATCACCCCTTCAAACTGTAGGACGGTCAAAAGTCACCCTTAAAAATGGACTATACAAGACTATGACAGTTTTTTGAATCTGCCGAACATTTCGAATTGCTGAGAAAACGAAGTGTTTCACAATCTCCCACGTTTCACCATTCCCCACTCTCCCCTATATATATAAATGTATGGTGTGCACATAAATTTGCATTCTTCTTTGTCGATTTATCTATCACCTGTTCTCAATGACAAATTCGAAATGAAGTAAATAACAGTCGTTGGTGGGCTTGAGTGGCGCATTGTTTGCCAATGTCATTTAAACGCCATCACATTCACTTAATTTCATTTTCTGGCGGGTGATTTTGACACACGTCTTGCGAGATGTGTGTAATATCTCTGCTTTGTCGCCTAAGCAAAAGAAATAAAAAAAATCAATAAAACGAGACTCTTTGCATTTAAGGCTCGCCAGACACATACCAAAGAAGAAGAAGAAAACTCGAACAACAATAGAAAAATGCTGATGAACCTGATTGAAATATCAATGTGACAAATTTCCAACTTTGCCTATTATCATTTCACTGTCATCCAGGATACGGAGCCATGTTATTTATATATATATCCATTTTGCGTTTGTTGTTCAATCTGCGTTAACAGTGCTGTTCGCAACATTCTGTCTTTCATTCCCCAAAATGTGCAATAATATGTTGTGTATGAATTTATGATGATGACAGCTGACAACATTGCTAATGTATGATGATGAAAACGCATCGTTTATTACCCAACTGACACCAAAAATAAGTACAGCAAGTGAACAATGTGTGATCATAATCGTATCATATTCGAAAGCACACTTCTCAAACGATAATGTTTCTCTTTTTTTTTGTTTAATGGGAGGAGATTTAACAATCAAAAATGCGTTGATATCGCTGAATTGGTCGATCGAAATTTGACAATTCGAGTGGGAAAAAAGAGCATTTCAAGAGTTATGTGACTAATAAAGCGATCAACTGATAATCCGATCAAAAAATCAATACTTGTCTTCTCACATATCACTATAAAATGATTGCAGAAAAAAAAAACCATGGATATAGTCTAAAGAACACACAAAAAAAAGAGAGCGATACCAATGAAAAACATGCTGTTAAGTCTCAATAAAACTCAACCGTTGCACATGAAGCAAGAAATCCATGTTGTCGTCGTGCTGTATGTTACTGGCGATGCTCTGTGTAGTTGTTTGGCAAACAACTAAACTGTTTCGGTGTGGATGTGCGTTGCGTATGCGTTTGTACGTTCAATAGCAAAATTGGGATGCGATTTATGGTTTGCCATGCAACACGTCAAATCGATGTATCATTTGGATGTTTTTTTGTTGTTTGCGTTGTGTGTGTGTGTATATGTGTGCTGAAGAGAGAATCCTCTCAAACTTTCTATTGGAAAAACTCTTGGCCAATTATTTATACACAATGGCTTTAGTGATTTTTGGTATGTGTGTGAATATATATTTCGCTGGTTAAGTGATAAAAATAAATGGCAACAAATTTGTTACTGTGGAATTGATCGCACACCATTTTCCAGGCCATAAAGATAATCACTTAAGAGTATTCTCGTCCATTTTTTTCGTTATTGATGTCATGAAACGTTTTGTTTTTGTGTGATTCTTGTTGTTGTTGTTTTTTTTTTTTAAATGTTTTCTAACAAAAAAGTTTCATTTCTTTTCTATTTGCAGTGCATGTAAGCTAAGCGATAAGAATAGGGCCGATCGCCTTGCACAACCACGTATGTCTCTGCTGGGGAAACCAATAAATTATAATCGTGGCGCACGTCGTGATGCCCGTTATAGAAGGCTTCAAAGTCGTGTATACAATTTTTTGGAACGACCAAGAGGCCTACCGGCCATTTTGTATCATGTTCTTGTGTAAGTATCGCAAATTTCAATTAGTTTTCATTTTATTTGCTATTTATTGCCTTGTTTGACCAAACCAAACTAAGTTTTAAGTGTTTCTATTCGGTAGAAGTAACCATAATTGACCAATGACGCAACAATATGAATGGGAAAAAATAAAGCCTACAATTGGTGAAGAAAAATGCGCCGATGATATAAGTGTGTACGATCGCATACATTCGGATTTGTTGTTATTTGCGGAGCGTAAAACATCCGCGATGTCAAAATGTCACTAATGTATATTTATGGTAGTAGATTGTCATGGCCGGTGAAAGTTTCGCTTCGGTTTTTTTTTCTGCTCGGTTCTAATGTACTAACGATTCCATTTAATTTAATAGACGATTTTAGTGAAAGCTAAATCGAGCAATGCGGCCAATCAATATACATTTCGGGGTTGTTGCTTGATGCGAAAGAACGAACTTTGCTATACTATGTGTATGTCGGGTGTGTATGTGTGTGTGCGCGCCTAAGCACACTAAAAACATGTGCACACATTTCGCACACACAATATGCTTATCAACATGAATATCCCGTTGAGCTTCCGACAAAATTCATCCATTATTTATTACGATGCCCACCCACTCTATCCCCATCCCTAGATTCTCGCTTTCGCTATCACTCTCTTTTTCTCTCTCCGTGTGTGTTTGTGTTTTTGTTGTGTGTGCGGCCAGTTATTTTGTTAGTTCAATTGAATTGTGTATAGAAATGTGGAAGTTCATTTAGTCGTCCAGCTTTATGGTGCGTTACGCGCACGTTCGTGTCCACAAGTAATTGCACACGGAGTGAGAGAAGAAAATGGAGTGTGGGCATTGTCTGATCTATTCCAAGCGGACACTTTTTGCTGTTATTATGGTCAAAATGCATACGGTTCGCCTGGTTTTTTATTACGACCAGGCCAACATGCTTTCAAGCTCAATTCGCATCCGAACACCGTGTAATTCATTAATACATAATTGATATAAATTCGTTGTGACAGAGTATACCGTGCCAATACACGATCATCCTGTCCACCGAATGGCGAAAAGCGTAAACCAAAAATATTCACCAAAAATAGTGTGAAAACACCGGAGGAGCGGGGTGAAGGGGGGGGGACTGGAAGCAATTGTAAGCAAATCTGACAATTTTTACCGTCCGTGTTGAATAAGCGCACATTCTTTCCGCTCCACTCCGACCACCAATTTCACGCCATTCCAATATATGTGTGACAATTTCGTGTTCTCGTTAATCTGTACCTGTACTAATCTGACCTGAATATTTCTTTAATTAGCTGAATTATATCACTTTTTCTCCAACCAGAGTTTTATGCTGGCCTATCCTATTTGTGATGGTACTTTTGGTGTATGTTAGTGTCAGATGTATTATAAATAATTATATTACTTAATTTCACTCACATTGCGATGATATCAATTTACGTGAAATGTTCGCTCTCGACAATAGCAATCGAAAATCGACCGACACCCGATGATCTCAGTACGAATAGCACAGAAATATCGGATTGTTTTATTTTTCGGATCAAATGATTCGATTCTGTTGTTCAATTTATGAAAACAGTAGAAAAAAAATTCTGGCTTCAATTAAATTAAAATGATGATTGAAGAATGGCAATAAGAAGAAAACAGCAAATAAACAAAAATTGCACGACCGTTTCATTTGTGAAGGATTTGCTGAAATGGAATGGAACCAGCAGAGCATCAAGAATTTCAGACATGAACTTTTTGATTTTGCTTCTTTTTTTTATATTCTTACGCTTCGTCTGCCAACCGAACAGATAATCAAAGTTGGAATGCTTTGTTCATTCGGTTGTATTGCTTTTTCACCGATTGATAAACACATTTATATAATAATATATGTGACACTCGACAAAACAAAGCATGTTGCATTATTATTTTATTTTTATATTAATTTTTGTGCTCATCGTTGGCATATAATAAATTATGGAATAATTTAACGTTTTTTGTTTGTTCCATCATGATCCCATTGCATCGTAACATGGATTATTGGATGTATGAACTCCTATTCTTCATACCGACGAAAATCATTTACACTGGCGCGCATACATACAGATTTTTAATGGTATTCACATGCTTGGCCTTAAGCGTTTTCTGCACAATAGACGAGTACGAGGATCAGGCAATCGATATACTACTCAAAATGGAGATAATAGTTGTTATCTGGTTCACAATGGAGTTTTCTGGACGGTACGTATACACACAGATACATATAGACAATCTGTTTCGAATGAGTCTGAAACCCCCTTTTTTTTATTTATAAACTCATTTTTCTTTCCAATCAAATAAAATGAAATCAAATCAAATCAAATAAAAACCGAGAGCGAGAGAAAACTCTCAGTCTTTTGTATTTTTCCCATTGCCCGTCGCGCGTCGTTGCTTAGTAGACAAAAATAATGGGCAAAATACAAAAGAAAATCGGTCTCGTTTTCACATTTAATCGTCGCGCGTTCATTTATCAGCCATCGCCTTTGATAAAGTATATTCCGAAATGTTATTCTCTTTCTTATGTTGGTTTTCCTTTTCTCTCTACCTCTCTCTCTCTCTCTGTGTGTGTGTGTTTTTCATTTGGATGTATTTTTATTTTGTGATTGTGCACACATTTGACTTCATGTGGCGTGTGTCGGTGCGCGCTGTGCACTTGGCCGTCTGCTGTTGCGAATTTTCTTCACTGTTGTGCGTTATTGATTGGTCGCGCCTCTTGCATACAATGCAAAACGATGTATAGACTTTGGTCATCGGGTTGTCGCTCCCGCTATCAAGGACCCATGGGCCGCTTGAAATTTCTCAAACGACCATTTTGTATTATCGGTGAGTATCCAAGCATCCATTAACTGATTAGCCATAATTTATATGTAAATTTGAAATTTAATTGAAAGTTCATTACGGAAATTCAAATTTGAAATATGGAAAATGTTCAAAATCGTTGAAATACACCAACAAAAACGATGTTATTTATTTTTAAGTCATACTTTATGATGATGATGACGCTTCATTCTATTTTTTTCACGTTTTCTTTTCCCCAAATCACAGATGTTGTAACGATTGGTGCATCGATTGTTGTGATAGGTATGGGAACATCAGGGCAGGTATTCGCAACCAGTGCACTGCGTGGTCTACGATTTTTCCAAATACTCCGAATGGTTCGGATGGATCGTCGAGGCGGCACATGGAAATTACTCGGAAGCGTTGTATATGCTCATAGACAAGTAAGAATCCATTCAAATCTTTCTAATATGCCAAAACTGGGATGGGATATTGATCGATCTATTATTACCTTGTGGTTGGTTGCCTTACTCTCGCTCGCTCTTTATATTTCTGTCTCACTTAAAACAACCAACTAATTCGTTCGACGGAGCAATCAAAATTACATTCCATTCAGTTTTGATTGCCATTTAAGGGCGGACAAAGGCAATGGAGCACAGAGTTATGATTTTCATTTTCAAATATCGATTTAGACAGAGAAAGAACGTGAGAGTGTGAGAGTGGGTGATGTGATCGCTTCGATGTAACCCAGGGCCAAAAACCTATTACATAATATCATTCGGAATGAGCAGCTATTTCACGATAAAACCAGACATACCATATTCCAAGAATACTATTCACAAAACCACCAAGGGAAATTGGAGCTGAAGCTGGGAATTTATGCCTACTATTTTGCTCGTTTTCTCTCTCTCTCTCTCTCTCTCTCTCTCTCTCTCTCACGCATTTTTGTCAGAGATGGCGCCGTTGCTATCACGTTTGGTTGGAACGAACACGAATACGGCTGCATTGGTCCCATTGTATTGGTGAACCACAATCTAATACTTGAAAACCGAATTAAACTAAATATCCCAATCCATTTCGTCTGATTCTCGGTTTGCTTTTTCTCGTTTCTAGGAATTAATCACGACATTGTACATAGGATTTTTAGGACTAATATTTTCTTCATTTGCTGTATATCTTATGGAAAAGGATGTGAATAAAAAATTTAGCAATTTCGCTCAAGCACTTTGGTGGGGTGTGGTATGTATGATACTTTACCATTTTCTGTCTCTGTGTCTAAACATAACTATATTTGAATTAGTGAAAACGGAAACAAGACATAGATTGGAATTTTTTTTTTTTTGAAGTGTAATAATATCCATACAATGGTATGAAAGAGAATAGAAGAGGTTATACTTCAAAGAAAAAAAATCAAATCGATGTCTTTTTTTCTGTTCTCAATAAATCAATTTAAATACGAGAATTTACATAAATTCATATCAAAATCAGTGAGTGGACATTTGGCCACTGTAAATGTCTTGTATTTTAAATTAGAACCAGTTGAATTTCGGTGTTTTTCGTCTTTTCATTTTCGTATGTTTTCCATATCGTCATGTTGCGGATGTCCAAAAAAAAAACGAATATTAGATAACTCTATGCACAGGTATGAAAGAGAATAGAAGAGTTATACTTCAGAAAAAAAAATTCAAATCGTTGTTTGTTATCTCTTTTTTGTCGGCGGAAAGTTGGTTATGGTGACATGGTACCAGAAACGTGGCAAGGCAAGGTGATCGCATCATTTTGTGCACTACTTGGAATTTCATTCTTCGCATTGCCAGCTGTAAGTAGTTGAAATTGGTGGTTTGAAGTAATGTGTATGAACAGCATTCTCAACCCGTAATATTGTTGCAAGAGTGACACACAAATATGCTAAATCAAAATTAGTTTAGCCATGTTGAGCGCTGTTGCTCACCAACGGAAACCAACCATTACCGAGGAGATGGAGAAACCAACACCTATAACAAATTCATTAGCTATCTCAATGAAAATGTTGTTGGATGCTTCTTTCTGATTCTTTTTTTTTGGATACAACTCAAGCGAATATACATAAATGCTTCTAATTTTCAGTAATTGCAATAATGAAGCATAAAATAGTGCATATTTTTCGGTTTTTTGTTGAAACGTTGTACACCAACAAAAACAACACAAACAAAATCAAGCACGTCCAATTTTCGTTGTTTTCTTCTTCGTTTTTTTTCGTGTTTTGTTTCTCTCTTTTGGTTTTGTGGCGGCTCCAATTAGAAAGACGAGAGCGGAGAAATCGCATCATTTTGTTGTGTTTTGTTTTGTTTTGCAAGTTAAATGAGTAACGTCGTTATGTAGCATTCAACATGTGATTCGCCAATAGCATTATTATAATTTGTTTAGAAAATATATATATATATATATAGTAGTAATCCAGTCCCATCATCTCGGCGATGGTGGTTTTTCGTTTTGCAGATAAGTTAACCCGGCTCACTTTCTCTCTTCCATACATTTTATTCACAAACATAGAAATTATATTATTATGATTTTTTTTTTCGTTGTTGTTTGTGTGTTATTATATGAAATAATGATGAATTCAAGGGAATATTGGGCAGTGGTTTTGCGTTAAAAGTACAGCAACAACAACGGCAAAAGCATATGATCCGACGACGACAGCCAGCCGCCACACTAATACAGTCCCTATGGCGATGTTATGCAGCCGATGAGCATTCTTTGTCGATTGCAACGTGGAAAATTCATCAAGTGCCATTACCCTCACCACCTCCATCGTAAGTATTCAGCAGCAAACAAGATGAATAAATCTGGTTCGCCTTATTTTTAAATTACGTTGTGTTCTCTCGCTCGCCTTCTCTCGATTACGAGAAGTCAAGCCATAGAATATAAAAAACCTTTAATTAAATACATAAAAAAAATTCGAAAGAAAATTCATAAAAACTCTTGTTTCAAAAACTAAAACGATGGCAAGCGGCCGACCAAAAACAAAAACCTCTCGCGTAATTCAAGTTTAGTCTCGTTAATGATTGTTTTTTTTTTGGATTTGAAAGAAGAAACAAACAAAAAAGAACAAAACCAAACTAATTCAGGATATTGATTTCGATATTTCGCCTACTAATATTTAAGCCGTAATCGTTGCAAAACGTAAATCATGCCCACCAAACCGTTTAACATCACACGCAACAACGAATGTTTTGAATGTGTCTCGCTTCCGAGAGAGTGAAACTTGCAGACGAACTAAACAGAATGAAAAATTCAGACAGAACAAGAAAATGCTCAAGCTGCCCGAAATATCTATATGTTGGTCGTTAGACGATTTTGAGTGAAATTTCAACGTTTATTGTAGAGGAAAACCGAAAAACCTCACTCAAATGACGCATGCGAGAATCCACTCATCGTTTGATCAAAAAATAAAAACGTGCAATGTTTATATGTTGTTCTCGTACAACACACACGATACAGGCATTCGATAGAGAGAAAAAAAAACAAAGAAGAAACGTCGAACCACAGACAAAACACATACACACTGCATTGATTTGATTTGTATTTGCCCAAATCACCAAAAAACCGTGTTGGACTGCATGTATTCTCATAATTAAATCTTTTTCTTCTCTTTTTACTGTGTATTCCCTGTTATATGATACGTGAAAATTAAAAGAGAGTACTGGGATAGAATGGTTAGGAATTTTTGTGACTATAGGTAATTTTTATGTGTGGGTAATTAAAATTAATTTGTATTGACACTTCTAATTATAATAATCTTCAAGCTCTCAATAATAATAATTAATAGTGATAACGTTAGCTTTCGAACCTTCAATTCACAATACAATTTATTGTCACAATTTGCAATTTTTTTGACATTTTCGTCTTCTTTTCTATTTTATTTTCCATAGATAGGTTTGGGTTCATTTTTTTTTATAGCAAATGTTTTTTCAAAATTTACTGCTCATTTCAAGTTTATAACTCAGAAAAAAAAACGCACACATTGAATAGAGCGTTTGTGGCTCAATGTGAAAGCAGTAGTGCATTTCGAACCATTGATTGATTCAAAAAAAAAAAAAAACAAAAAACAAAATCGAAAATCTTTTTTTCGCTTAATCGCAAAGTAAATCTCTCTTCTCAATCGCTTATACATAATATCTCTATTATATATATCTTCAATGAATTTTTATTTTCGGTTCATACGTATCAATATCACCTTAAATTCAATACCGTCGCACCTGCTTTGTTCGTAAAGTGATACTCGTGTTGCTAAAAAAAGTCCTACTGTACGAAAGAACGGTAGACAATTTCTCAGAAGCTCGATCGAAAATAACAATAACAAATAGAGAGCATTTTTTCTCCATAAAGTACTATTATTATTCTCCATTTTGTTCAAGCCTATATTTAGATTTCTAAAGATTCTATTCTCAAGATTTCCAAAGAGCTTCCGTAGCTTTATCACGAATCTCTCATCTAAATTTATACGCAACAAACGTTTATTTTTTTCCTTTCTTCACCTTTATCATTTTTTCTTTCTGTTTCGTGATTTATCTCATTCGAAATGAAACATTTGAACATTTAACAGGGTAGAGGAGAACAATGAAGTGCATATTTCAATTTCTTCTTCTTCTTCCTTTGCCCATAGTAGTAACAGAAGAATAAAAACAAGCAAATTTCATTCCAATACGCACACACCATATGCACCAACCAACGATCAAATCAAATTTATCGACCAAATTGTCGTGGGCAAGTGCCATTTGCTGCTCTGCACCAACAACTTATACTTTTAACCAAGCAACAAATCAAAATACAAAAAATAAGAGAAAAAAAATAAGCCAGGAATAGCTTGTGCACGTTTCACCGAATGTGGAATGGAATTCCGGCCCACACAGTCACCATTTTGTAAACGAATGAACGAACCATTGATTGGTGTGTCACGATTACATCATGGCTCTGTGCGATGGATGCTTTCATTGTAACCAACAACGCCTTGAAGACTTGTGCACAGTGATCACGTTAGCTTTTGAATTTGAAAACAAAAATGAAAGAAAATTAAAAAAAAAAAAATAAGAGGGAGATCAAACATTCTAAATTGTTTGACTGCCTTATATTGCGTAAAATGATGCTGCACGGTGTAGGGTTGTATTTGGATTGTGGCTTTTTCAGTGGCACACACACATAGGATCACAAACTTTTTTGGCCGGTCATGAAAAAAACAAAACCTGTACACTAGGGGAATCACTCACTTTCCAAATGGTGTGAATCTAACGAATCTTATGAATCTTTTGTTTACTGAAATCCAATATGGCGACTGACAGTTTTGTCGCCATTTTGAATTTGGATTCACGAGATTCATCAGATTCATCATATTCATGACGATTCGTTCACAGTAATGTGTTGAATCTGAGTAAATCTTTTGAATCTGTGTGTAAACATAAGAATATTGTTTGAATTTGGAAAAAGACTTCAATCATACAAACTGCATTGAATGATAAATTCCCCTAGCCTGTACACTCTTTCATATCACTGCAAGAACAAGTAGTGAACGCATCGTCGATCAAGAGAGAAAGGCTTGGCTCGCTTGCATATTTTATTTGAACGAACGTGCACATTCAGAACAAAAACAAACAAACAAAACGAAACGATACAAAAATATTGGATACCAATTAAAAAACGATTTTTTTTTCTATCTGCAAATGAATTCAAATTGAAACGATTTCAATTTCTCTTCTTTCTCTTTCTTTCTTTCTTTCTTTTTTTCCATACACTTTTTCATGTTGGCCGTTTTATTATACGTGTTTTTCCAATGAAACATTCAAATCCAATCAATATTGGATTGAAAACATAACTTTGAACATAAAAACCAAAAAAATTATCTTAAAAAAACGTTCAATTGGCGAAAAAAAAACAAATATTCAATTTTCACCAACAACAAAACAACAACAATCTAAACACTTTGATTATTTTCGTATTCGCTACTTATATGTAAAATGCTCGCATAAACGACGTTAAGCTTTCGGGGGCAAAAGATTTACCTGTTAGCGCGGCGTTATCCAAGCGCATCAGAAAGGTTGGTGTTCTTTACATTCAGGCTTTTTATTTTCCCTTCCATTACTACGGTCTGTCACTATTTTTATTTGTTATGTGTGTGTGTCTTTCTCTGTCTGTCTCTCTTTCAAATCTTAACGACTCTATCCGTATCTCTCTCTCTTTCACTTTCTTTGGTTTTTTATTAGTTTGGTTTAGTTTTGTTTTTCTGTTTCAACTTCATTTTCATCGCATTTTTATTTCTGTCTTTTATTGAGGTAACTCTCTTTTTCTTTACTCGATGATTCAGTTCTGAGTCGTTCATTTGCATTCATTCAAATCAAACTGTATGTCTGCTTCTATTGAATTTTCAAATGATGCGAACGATCTGGAATGACTCCACTCGTTTTTCTGCTCCTTTCGCTCTTTGTTCAAAATGTAAAAACGTTTACAAACATCCATGATCCTAACCGACCGCTCCCGCTCATAGAATCATGCAATCCACTTGTATTTCAACAGCCATTTTTGAATGCAAGTTTAACATTCAAAATAATAAGAGACATGCGTAAACCAAATCGTAAATTTCCATAAGCATCTCTATTCGTCCTCGAAATGAAATGTTAGTGTTATGCATTTTTAATCTTAGCCTCTTTTGAAGCTTGTCCCATCTCATCTTGATTTAAACCATATCCTCCCCTTGCCTCGTCAAAGAAAAAAAAACCTTTCTTTCATTTCCCAATTCGTTTCGATTCATTTCACAATTCAATAGAAAAAAAATACACACACACACTCAATCAATCACACAACACCGTTCAATGATCAATTTCGAATGGATTAATCCCTTGTAAATACGTTCGTTTTTCCCTTTTATTTTCATCTTTTTCTTCTTCTCGTTCATCATTTATTTTGTATTCTGTGTGAAACACGGTACATTGTTAGCTATTCCACAGTGGAAATGTGGTCTTTGACAGCACATCCAAGCCCAATTAAAATTCAATTAGTCACTGTGACATATTTGACAGTTACCGTATATATATTTCGAAGTTGTTTCGACAATTTGTGTCGATCAAATTGTACTTTGTATCATATGTATCTTTTCATAGAATCTGTTCGTAGCGTTTATCTAGCACCAGGCACCACATCTATGTGTATATTCAAGTCAAAGTGAATTTATGTACAAATCGAATCAAAATATTTTAAAACGAATGAAAAGTAATAGCGAAGAGAATTACGATGATTGAAAACAGTATGTCAAAAATTCGACAACACAAATCGACTACGTCCACGTTGAACACAAAAAAAATATCTACGGATAAATTCATTTTCAATTGTTATTCGATTGGATGCACTCTGTTTGCTACTGTCTTCCATTGTGTTATGGAATCGCGGAATTTATGGTGTCGATTGTGATTACTGAACCTGGATTGACCTTCAGATTGTCCATGTTTATCGGTATCTGAATCTCTCTGTTTGCCGTTACCGCCATCGTCGCTCAACAAAAACACTTTGTCATCAAAATCCTATCAAGTTTCTCGTAGGAATCACACAGTTACACTAAGAACCAAACAAAGCACATTAGCACACAACTTTTTATTTTTATTTTCATTGGAATTCAAATTGGCTTATCAATTTTAATTCTATTTTTTTTTATTTCGTTCGATTTCCTCGGTTTTTTGAAAACAATTTTATTGGTTAATTAAACCATTTCGTTCCGTTCCGTTCATCAAAAATTCGATAATAAAAGAGTTCAAATTTCCATTTTAATTTCATACACCAGACAAAACAAAAAGTACATTTTAATTGCACCACACATGAAAACCACAGGGACGTCTACGTTATTCTATTGTATTATATAATGGTTAAGGTCATAGGATTAAACGATGTATCGTTCAATATTGTAGGCATTTAATTTCCAAGGAATAGGAAGCGAGTTAGCAAGGTGTCTGGAAAAAAAAAACTACATGACTACATGAAATCGAAATGATTCGTTTTAAATCACAGGCTGATGTCGTTGTCCGTGTACTCATGAGACTCATATGATCAGGAAATAAAACATAATAAATCTGATTTTTGTCGATCAATGTCGTGATTACTGTGTGATACATATATCTATATATATCTTAAGTTTAAATCTTGTTTTAAGTGTGGCTTTGCAAGATTTATCTTATTCAGATACTGTTCGTTCTGTTTTCTGTTCTATTTTTGATTATGCAATGTTTTTGTGACGTGAAATAAAAACAAAACAAAATAAACATAAAATCGGATAAAATTCGACTTGTAAGCCATGTATACTATAATTGTGAAATCGTTTGCATCAAATGTCTGAATCTACCCGTGCAATGATGGAATCCGAAAAAAATCCCTGCCCGCAATCAAAATTTAATGTGAATGTGCACGAAATCGTCTGCAACAAACAAACAAAATACTCAGATTGGTCCCGCATTTGAGTTTGTTCTTTTTTTTTAAACGCATTCAATGCACCAAACCAATTATCAACCCCAACGTAACCTGATTTGTTCTAATGGTTTGCTTTCTTTTGAAATGAAATTTGAAAAAAACCGACACATTTGAATTGCGACAAACCCAAAACAACAATCACAACAACAACAAAAATGCAATGCCAATGATAATAGCATGAATTTTTTTGTCCAACAATTCAAATTATCCAAATTTTGTTTGTATGCCGCTTTTAATAACAACCAAAATCTTGTAGTCAATTTTCCCATCTTATTTCTGTTTTTTTTTTTGTTAGACTCGTCTTTTGTTTTATCTTTAAATATAGACCAAGAGCCCACCGTACAAACAACTTTTTTTCTTGTGCACTGCAGAAATTCATAAAATTAACATCTTCCCACAATATTCTAACAGAAATGAACCACTTTTTTCAATGAAATTGGGCGGATCGCTTTATCGTAGCGCTACGTGAAAAAGTATACTTTTTTCGCACCAGTATCGCAGAAATTTGTATTAAATCTTCATTCGGATCTAACTAACTTATAAATAAAATATCTGCACCGAAAAGTGAGCGGTTTGCTTAAAAAATAGAATTAAAAGATTTACACTTTTCGGTGCAGATATTTTATTTATAAGTTAGTTAGATCCGAATGAAGATTTAGTACAAATTTCTGCGATACTGGTGCGAAAAAAGTATACTTTTTCACGTAGCGCGAATAAAGCCGCGAATAAAGCGATCCGCCCAATTTCATTGAAAAAAGTGGTTCATTTCTGTTAGAATATTGTGGGAAGATGTTAATTTTATGAATTTCTGCAGTGCACAAGAAAAAAGTTGTTTGTACGGTGGGCTCTTGGTCTAATATACAAACGTTTTTTTTTCCTCCAATTAATTATTTTATTCAATATAAATAAATGTGATCGAATCAATGTATTATGTCATTAAGCTCGAAATTGGAACCACCAAAAGAGTTGACAGCCAGCACAAGCGCTATGTAAGTTTTCTCCCCAAATTAACACAAAACATCTTCAACAACAACCAAAACAATATCCATTTGCCGTAATAAGTAATCAGTGTGCATCCCTCACCATTTCTTATGTCTTTCTCTCTCACACACACAAATTCACACATATTCCGAGTTTATCTAGATTGTCAAACAAAACGAAAATCAATCAATCAATTTCCATCATTGTTTCCAGTCCCATCAAAAAATTTGTTCTGTTGATGTTCAAGCTTATAATAAACATGAGTGTAACACGTGTGTTGATCATTTTGTTTGTGTGTGTTGTGTATGCTATTTGGAAACTGTGTCGCAATCACCACAATAAACAAAAGCAAAGTCAACAACAAAAATTATCTAGTGCACGACAAAAGTTCGCTCATTGAATTCGCTGTGTTTTTGGGGTATGTGACCTTGAGATTCTTTAAGAATGCAAATCAATAGAGATATGTACGTTGAGACCGTACAGAGTCTAACGTTGAAAATAGTTTTGATGATAGAGTTGCAACCCAAATGCCATCAATGAGCGCACTGTCATTCACCCAACATCCAAATATTGTGGTCAGCATACGGCTTTGATGTGTAAAAAACTTAGATGTCGGTTATATGTCATCCTTACGTGTGTAGTCTAACCGTAGTTGAGACCAAGCAGTCCAATTGCTTTTTTTTCGTTTCATTTTATGTGTTTTTTTCCGTCAATTTCGGTTTCGTCGAATTATAATCTAAAATTCGATTTTTCAGTCATCTGGTCTGAACATAAAGAACTAAAAACGTGGAAAAAAAACGACGAATCGCAAAAAAAAAACAAATATTTTTGCTGATCCTCTTACATGTGGTATTCAAACATTTTCTCTCTGTGTGTCTATCTCCCCCTCTCTCTTTATCTATCACACACCAAACAATAGTACCACATTGTTTTAAATCCAAATGCCCAAAAAACATACAAACAAAGTATGAAAACAGTTTTCCAGTGAAGTTCATTTCGGTTTTTTCTGTTGCAAGCTTTTTTTATCGATTTCGAAAAATAAAGCTTATATTTTTTATTTCCTCAAAACTAACTTTCCCATACTGTCGATGATGGATAAAAAGTGATCCGATTACAATCGCGCGTCGTGCGTCGCTTTTTGAAATGAACTCTTCTCTCTCGGAAAACAAAATCCAAATGTTTAAAGAAAAAAAAATACGCCGAGATTATTGTAGGATATGCTTCAATTAAATTGTAACAACAACAATAATAACATCAACAATTTGTTGATCACGAAAATGTTGAATATGCCAGAGTATATATATATGCAGGCACAAACGAGAGATTCAGGGAATTTTAATTTTTTCGCTTCAAACTCAAAAAAACATCTGAAATTGGTTGGAAAATATGAAGTGGCTGCTGATGTCAATTGGATGATTTGTTTTCATCGAATCGAAAATTTTAAAAGATTACTATTTAGTAATCCATGGTGATTGTATGCAAATGTAGTGTATTACATGTTAGTCCATAGCATTTGTTTTGACGCGCGCGTGCGAGAGAGCGCGTGAGATGTGTCGTAACGTGAGTCGCATACTTTAGCAAAATTATTACAAAACCATATTTCGAACAACAATTAGTAATCGTGCGATCAAATTAGCTAGCAATTTTATATGTATACGTACTTAATGCGTAATTAAGCTGTAGTCGGTTGATTTGTTTGATTTGACCAAGGTCGCTTTCTTCGTATACAAATACATGGGGAAGATTTGACGTAAGACGCCAGAACGCCTCTACGCGTGGAATGCTCGAAGCTGTCATTTTACACATATTCAACACGAACATTGTCGTTTACACAATCGCGCTCACACAAATGAACGCATCGATAGTGCCCGCTCAATATATGTACGATGACTGTTTTGAGTGTCTCTCGCCTAGAGTGCTGCGTGTCGTTTTTCTTCGTTTATTAAGCGATCTTGATTTGACCGTTTTATTTTTGGTTTTATTTCGTTTATGTTTGGTTTGATTGTCTGGTTTCATTTGATATATATGTACAATGTATACGACACATTACTTGAATCACTAATCTACATCCATACACACAAAAAGAAACACACAATTAAACACATAATGAAAATTTCTGTCTCGTACAAACGCTGCGTAATACTTCTTCGCCAAACGTGAATAAAGTTTTCATCGTACCAAAGTGTTTTGATTTTTCTCATTTGGAAATGTCTGATTCAGCCGGCAAATCCTTTGTAACTTCTTATTTGCAATGTAAATTCAATCTAAAATTAGATTTATGATACTGTTGTTTTTTTAAATCTCTCTCTCTCTCTCTCTCTCTCTCGCTCTCTCACCTTCTGAGTACGCGTCAAAATAATGAAATTTGCATTCAATGGGCATGAGTTTAAAAAAAAGAGTTTTTTGATACACCCCAACCATATATATGTGTGTTTGATAGCATGTTCCATCCAAATCAAATTTTCGAACAATGTGCAAACTCATTGAGAATTTATTATTCGTCGTCATTTTCGGCAATGTTCCCATAAAAAAAATCCATGCCATAAGTATCCAAAATGGTTTATTTATCTTTCTATATGAACGGAAACATTTTGAGCAAATGTCAAACATTTTGCACGGTCTGTATGTACCTGACACATTAACTCGTAGAAATTATACATTGTTTTTTAATCCAAATATCTGTTGAGCAATTCGAATTCGTTTGTGGATTATTTTGATACGGAGAGCAATTTTCTCACTTATGTCTAATCAAAAATCCGCTTTGCACCGCCACAATCAATCAAATCGCTTCAATTAAAATTAGCCGAGTGAATGAATTAATTTGAGTGGTTGGCCTTCAAAGCCGTTTTATATAATATATTAGTAGGTAATTAGGTTTCAAAGCAATTGGAAAATCTACAAATCGCTTCTAATCACCCATGCACATTTTCTTAAGAATAACTTGATGCTTTTACTTCGCCGAATACAGTAGATGACATTCGATTTAATTTCTTAGTTCGTTATCGTTAGTTAGATGTATTTATACTAACATTTGAAGTTCTTACTTACAAATAAAAAGCGTTGTACATAAATACAAAATCATTAAGCTGATTTATGTCACAAAATTTTGGCTAGATTTTAAAAGATTTCATTTAGAAGTGGTATTTACACATTCTTTGAAAATAAAATTAAAATGCATTTAGCGTTAGATATAGAACAAATTTTATTACCATAACATTTAACCCTTGTGCAAAAATATTAACGAATCCAACTACTTAAAATTAAATTCGTGAACAACTTATTTGTTTATGATAAATAAATTTTTCAATTGTTGGAAAAAAAAACGCAGCAAAACGTTGAATATTTTTACACAAGGATGCCTGCGTGAATGTCGTTTAGTGAAAATACCTCACGACCGATATGCACCCCAAATACATATATTATATGATATATACATTTGAACGAACATGTTATAATTCCATATCATTCAAAATGAAATTCATTTCATGCCATTGATTCCGTATTTTGATTTTGCCCAGCTTGGGTTTTTTGGTCTTTTTTTTCTCAATATTTTCTGTTGTTGTTATGTCGATTTGTTCAGCCCATTGAAATTATATGTATACACCCCACCCACCCATCCTTGCAAAAATGCTTCGACGAGGCAATAACCTCGGAGAAAAAAATCCATTTCCCGGTTGAACAACGATATGAACTGAAGGAATATTTCACATATCGGAGTAATTTAAAGAGAATTATTTTATCTTCTTCTATGTTTATTTTTTTTGCATAATTTTAAATGAATTTTATTTTCATTTCGATTATTGTTTTTTCGAATTTTCATTTCAATTGTGCAAAAATTATTGAGTTCAGCTGCCGTTATAAACACAAACTCACATACATTACACCAAACACATTCACATACATCATTAATAATGTCACGAGATTTTGTTTTTTTCTTTTATTTTAACGCGCAGAAAACCACAAATGCGCTCATGTACACACTAAACACATGCATTCAAACAAATTAGAACACACTTTTTGTTCGTTCAAAAAAAAAAAGACAAACAAAACCATTTTTTTTTAAACAAAATCAAAATACACAATGAAAACCAATGCTTTAAGTTCTTGAACAAGTCGAAAATCGTTGATTAGACGTGCATCTTCTAGTTTTAAGCACAACGCATCGTTCGTGGCAAGGCTACCAACCATACGAAGGCATAAGAGTCAATCGTTACATTCGCCAGCCGGCAATTCGAAGCCACCGACTGCATCGGGACGAGGACGAATGCCGCAACGAACCATGGCTGAAATGAATGCTTCCGCAGAAAATTTAGGTAAGATGCAAAATAAAAAAAAAACTTGGCTATTCATGAATCTGCTCGCTCATCGATGTTTAACATTTATTTACTCATACATTTTCTGTTTGTATTTTGCTCTCGTGCGCATTGCTCTTTTCAGAAGTTACAAATAACGGTCGACCCATGAATCCGAGTTTAAGTGAGGACTCTGTTGCTGACACAGCGATATCGAAGCGCAATTCCGATGGTATGATTTTTTTGATTGATTTTTCCTTATCACATTGTATAATAAAACCAAGAACTGTTTTAAGGCCATTCATTTCTCTCTCTCTCTCTCTCACTTTGGTGTGTGGTGAAAATGAAATGAAACCAAAAACAAAAACACTAAATAATAAGTTTGAATTGGAGTTGTGTAAAATATGCAATTAAAATGTTTCTTCTTAAAACAGTGCTTGACTTCTTGCAACCATTATAAAGTATTTGGAATATCAAGTTACTAACTTAGTTTCGGAACAACGAAACGATCTCAAGCCTTATAAGACTGGCAACATTTACATTTTAAACTTATAATTCGATTTCTCCTTCATGTGCTTTCATTTGATTTAATTTATTTCAAATTCCAAGATGCCGATTCTCTATCTATTACTCCCACTCTATTTATTGTCTGCTTGGAATGCCAGCGACTTTTTGAACGACTTTTAATACTAATTTTCATTTTCCAATTCGTTTCAATCCAAAAAAAAACCACACAAATCGAAAACGATTCTATATCTGGTATTCAATTAACCGTGTGTGTGTTTTGTTTATGCATTTGTCTTTGTAAATGAAATAACCTCCATTTCGTTTAAAACTTGCTTGTTTCTATCGCAATCATTGTTGTCTCGTAGTTAGTAATTTTTGTTCCAATTGAAGTTTTTGATTTTGATTTAGAATGTGATTTGTAACCTTCATCGATCGTCGTGATTCGTTTGTTTTCTTTGTTTCGTTTTGTTTTTTATTCGTACGTATTTTGTCTTCAACTCACATGGAACCCCTTTTCGTTCTCACTTCTGTTTCTCTATTCCGGTCTCTACCCCGTAAAATATTTGATCCGTGTGTATTTATTTCATTTATGATACCATTTCATTATCGTAAACAATGTTTTGAAAATTTGTGAAAATTGTATTTATATAGATGAATTAAGTCGCAAAATCCACATGTAAACAAAAACAAAACCCAAAAACGAAACGAACACACGAAAAAAAATGTGTTTAATCTAATTTGAAATTGTTTGTTCGATAAATGGTTGTACGAAATAATTCCAAATTTAGCACCACCTTTTCGTTTCTTTTCACAAATCATTTATATATTTGAAGTAAACAAAACAAAAAAAATTGAAAAAGAAACGAATCAAACATACCGATAATTAGGAACACGCAAGCGAATTGTATTCCTAAACTAAAATGCTATCAACACAAATAATAATAGCACAAGGCAAGTACTGACTCAATGCACCACGTGGAAATTAAAAATAAACCATATCAAAATCCGTCACTCAAATGAACAAGAATAGCATCCAATTTCAAGAAGTGGACAAAAATGTTGAAATCAACATTTATTACCAAATGCATCGTCCCTCCGATTTGCGTTCTGCCAATTTGTGTACCGAGTAAGAGAAAACAACCAATTTTCATTGCAAACCAAATGACCAAAATGTGGAACCATAAACCAGATGTACTTCGAGCGATACGGTAAAATTGTAACACTTCATTTTACTAGAGCGAGCGCGTGTGTTTGTGTGTGTTTGAGTGAGTGGCGTGATTCAAACGTAAAAAATCGATGCCATGAAATTAAATCGGAGATTAGTCAGCCATTAATTTATTTGAGATGGATGTGTAATGACGATGCCAACATGTATGGCGAATGGAGATAGGCAAATGCACGGACGGATGTTATACTTTTTGTTGTTCGCTTCTTCGGCGTTTTTATTATTATTATGCGATCATAAAAAGGAGGAGACGCGGCTGAATTTCGGTTGGCAGCGTTAAAAGTACGCAATATTAAATGCGAATATTGTACAAGAATTACGGAAATTATGCGTTTTGATGATATTTTCAATTGAAAATTATATGCATATAAAATGCGAAGATTCAACATTGATATTTGGCGGAAAAAAAACAAATCGAAATACAATTCCACATGAACTCGTAAAATCTCAATTTAACGTACGATCGATCGTTTATCACCAAATGGCAACAATGTCAATCAAATGCAGAATCAAACCGAAAGAATCCAAACTGGAAATTTGACTGTCACTTTAGATTTTGATCACATTTTTTTTTGAAGGCTGCCAATGATATTGTTGTGACAGACATTTTACTCCAAATCATGTTGCTACCCTCCGGATTGGGCATCGTGTATATTTCTACATAAAATTTCACAAACATTTTGAATTGCAAACCGTAAATTTCACAACGATTCTCAGCCGTAATGGTGGTGACTTTCAGTTATGATATTTCAATTTAAAAAATTGAAATGAGTTCGTAAGTAGTTGAGCCAGGTCAACAATTTAGACATGAAAAAAAAACCAATCACGATTTAAATTAGTTTACAGAATATGAACGTAGCCGTTGAAACTTTAGTTGATAGATCATCGGTAGTGTTCCATTTTAATTTTGTGTAAATGTGTGTGATTCGTCGTCCATTCTACTTGCCCCGATTTCCGAGTAATTCATGCATTCGGACGGAGAAAATGAAATATCTATGCAGTGACATGGTATTTCACGTGTCATCGTATGTATTAGAATTCCATTCAGTGTCAGTATACCCAAGGTGCCATATGTCTAATGTCTTATGTCTTATGTCCTGTGTGTATATTTGAAACGTGTAAACGTCCAGTTTGCAAGATTCTCTTGTACCGTCTAATGTGTCCGTAGCCCATTGGAATGAACACTTAGGTTCACATCGTTTATCGTATCGTTCTACTATGTTCGCTGTTTTATGTCGCTGCCTTTCCTCTCTCTTTCTTTCTTTCACTCTAACTCTCTGTGTCTCTCTTCCTCCATCCCTCCTCGTCTCCGTTGTTTTGTATTCTGGTTTGTGCGTGTGCTATCAATACACAGACCAAATCATTTCTACGCATAACGCTGATCATGGCACTTTTTTTCTTTATTTCAATATAATTAAATCTTATACATTTTCACTCCTTCTCTCGTCGTCTCACTGTCACTCTCATTAAATCGAAAATGTGCGTTCGAAATGACTTAATAATAAAGAGTCAACCGTACCAAAAGCATAAAAATTAAAGCTCATTTTATTATTGCGTGCGCATGCAATAAAACTGGAAGGGGATACATATATTGTAGGTGATATTCCCTTTACAAGCTTCATTAGTACACGTTTTCCCATTTTACCTCACTCTCTTGTTTTTCCACCTACCCACTCCGCATACACAAGATTGTTCATTTGTGCTCCACCGCAAGCAGATCATCGCCCGTTGCTGCTACCGTTTTTGACAAGCCACCGAATGTTTTCGACAAAGAGCAATAACGGGCACAGTTGGTCGAGCACAAGCAATCATACTGATACCAGCAATTCATAGATATCCATATCCACCACGTTTACACCATATATATTGTTGGCACATCTTTTTCCGGCAATTACACAATCGGCATTCATCTCTCTTTTGACCTCTTTCGCTCTCTCTCTCTCTATGTTCTGCGCACAACCACACACATTCATCTGTTTTACATTTACCCACACTCTCTCTCACTATTTCTCCTCGTCTGCTCTCAGACAACACCAGCAAATCATTTTCCATTTGATTTATGCATTCTACCAAAAAAAAATATACTGAGAACAATACCATCATCATCATCATCATCATGTTTTTCGCTCCAACCGTAACAATGTGATCAGATGTTCCCACTAAAAAGCCAAACTCTTCACACCAATTTTCTAACAATAACCAACATCAACAAAAACTAAATCCGTTTAAATAGCCGAATATAAGTCGATGATTTTTTTAAAAATAATTTTGCTTCTTTTTTTTCACAATGCGAAACTACTTCCAAACTCTGCATTTTCTAGTCGATTCAATTGCAATAAACAATTGTGAGTCAAAGTTTAGTTTTTTAAAATCGGCAACAACAGCGGTGCACGGGCAATTTTGTCGTCATTCGAGCCATCCATCGGCCAATGCTAACGCCGCTGTCGCCACTGCCTATTCAAAACCGGCTCTCTTGAAAATTGGCGAAACGACAGCCTTACCGATAATGTTGTACCATCAATGGATTCAAGTGCAGGAGCCAACACAAACCGATGCAACTGACGAAACTGACGATCAAAAAATGGAGGATGCCAGTCTGCATATATCACGTTAGTTCCCCATACTTATCCCGAACAATCCAAGACTCGAATGGCATGTTGATGAATGGCAAAAATGAAAAACAAAACCAAAAATAAATACAAATGCGAAATCAAAACAAAAGCTGAAAGCACCCACCAAACAAAAAAAAACAACAACCGCATACCTATATACATATATGTATATATTGGATTCGGTCGTACATCCATTTCAAGCGGCAGACATGTTCATTGTTGATTTGGCGCAGCACACACACACACACATCACCACTCACTGGTCATATTAATGCAACATGTCATTCAAAATATCGGTGGTCCCGGAAACTCATTGGTCATCAATTCGCAAAATCCATCTTTTTTTAAGCTTTCAACAAATTGGTGATTTGCTGCATCAATATGTCCATTCTGAGGGGGAGAAGGTGTCGATTTGTGACAAAAGGGTATCAATGCGATAAACGCAAGTAATCACGCACAGCACATACAAGTGGAATGCTTGATGGGTGTTTGTTCGTATTCAAAAGAGAAGAAATTTTAAAAGAAAAAAAATCTCCTGCAGCGTAAAATCTGATCTTAATCATTTATCAGATCTTTTTTGTTTCTGAATTTTTCAAGTATAGCCATAGAGACAACGCAAACCGTTTTGAAACACACGAACACTCGACCATTTATAGATTTATTTTTTAACTGTCATTTTGTATCATATTCAGAATGTCCGCAGTATTTTTTTTTTGCTTTTGTTTTGAAATTGAAGCAAAAAACCCAAGAACAGAAAACACACTCACAAACACACAATCTTCTTTCCACTATCGTTTGCCACCACAATAGAAAATTTAAAAAAAAAATCAAAACTAGAAAAATAATATAATGTTAATGGTTTTGCCATTTTGGGATGCCAAAGGTACAGAAGAGATACAATTCGTCGTTGATAACATCGTTGATGAAGATTTTGATGAGCATGATGTGCACGTGTCGGTCGATGAAGCGGCTGAAATGGCCGATGAACAATCGAATCAATCGCAATACCTTCTAACATACAGTAAATTGAATGAAAAATTACGCGAAAAATTAACGCCAATATTTAATCGAAAACACTATTCATCGCTGCCACAGCCATCGATAAACTATTTTGAGCAAAGAACGCGGAAGAACAGTTACAATTACAGTGCGTAAATATCAGATAAGATATTCTCTCTCCTTTTTTTTCTCTCACTCATTCACTCGCCCACTCACTGGCCACTCTCTAGCAAAGAGCTTGCAACGCAACCATATCGTCAATTCAATTGTACGTTCACAGTAATGGTTTTCAAATGAATTCGATGAAATATTGGATCAACCGTGTTTAGTTATGAAAATCACTTTAAATACTTTTCGAGGTTGAACAAACAAGAAAAAAAAAACACAAACGATAACAATTGCTTGATTATTTGTGCGTCGTAAGCTCTTTAATTTCCGGTTTTTCTCAATGATGAGTTGACTTTTATTCATTTTTGTGGTTTTTAAATTTTGATTTTTGTCAGGCACACACACACACACACACACACGAACACACATTCAGGTATTCACGTACATTGCCTCACATCCGAACACCACCGTGTTGTAGCAATATTGTGTTTGACAAAACTGACACTAAAACACACCCGATCACCGTTTTCTTTTTGTTTCGTTTTTCGTTTTCTTTGTTGTTGTTGAGCAAGTGCTTTTTTCTACACCGAGTAACCTGCCTTTCAGATTAAGTTGAAAGTTGGAACAGCGACTGTTAACATGAAAATCGTTGAAGACTATTCCCAAGAGAAACGGCCAATATGTTTATACGCTGTCTATCCGCCGAAAATACACTACAATATATATTCACGCTTATTGGACGCCGAATTGAATATATATTGTAGTGCATTTTCGGCGGATAGACAGCGTATAAACATATTGGCCGTTTCTCTTGGGTTCATACTTCAAATTTCGAACGAAAAAGGAAATGAAAGGCAATCCTAATCCGACAGTTCTATAATCGATGATGAGCTTTTTATTTTGCAAATTAGCTTTGGCCAGCAAATGTGTTGGCCACGAACTCTATATTACACATTCCGATTGGATATTCGCGCCAATTTTGTTTTCTTTTTCATTCATTTAATCTCGTTTCAAGTCATATTTCGTGAGCCATTATAATTAATTACTCCAATGCATGTGACAGCAAAACCATTTATGTTCAATGCTAAGCAAATAAGCCTATTAGAATGGGAGCCACTTGTCTCATGTCTGTCAATCGTGTGGGTTCCGGTTAGATAAAGTTCGAGTTTTTTTTTATATGATATTCAGTTTCCCTTTGCACCGGTTCTGTCGATGCAAATTCGCTTTGATTCAATTAAGTCATCAATTTGTCCGGAATATGTATCGAAGTACTACGTTCATTAAATGGCCCATTCTTATGGTAAGGCGTGAAATGTGTAGATTTAGTTTGAAAATATCTTGTATTTGGTCTCCATTTATTTATATCAATAAATCGATTTCCATCGAACATTGCGATATAGCTTTGCTTATACTTTGAAAATATTTTGAGAGCGGGGATGTTGTTTATTTGTATCCCTTTTTAGAACATATTTTATGTGTGCGTACACGCAATCCGGAATTGATTTCGTGATCATTAAAACTGTCGCCTCACTTCGTCGATGTATTATACACTGAATTCAAACTGCAAAATTGCCAGCCCGGAAAATCACCATTATGTCATTCATTTTTCTTTGCATACACACGTATACATACCAATATTGTATATGAAAAGCAGAAAAAAAAGAGAGACAACAATAACAACAACAGCAGAAGAAGAAGAAGAAAGCAAAGACACACGCGCGCACACGTCAGAGATACCATTTCATGTCTACTGAATACAACTGTATGTCATGATTTATTTGGGTTTTCAGATGCGTCGACCAATCACAATAACAACATTCACTTTGCAACCACAATACTGGAACTAAAACTGGGAAAATGACTTGATGTCATACCATATCTGTTTCGGCTTGCACCGCCATACCACACTATATATCGTTTGGTGGCCTCATACAAATAAATACAATATAAATATGATATGTAATAACGTTGTGAATATATGTGTGTGTGTGTGTGAAACGTGTTTTAACTGCCATAATTTATCACTTTGAATGCGATCATATGCTCCACATGATCCATCAAGCGGGGGATATACTTGCAAAGTATGAAACGTAGTTTTGGCAATGAGTGGAAACCAACGCTGAATGCTTCGGAAATAATAATAATAATGGCAATTTTGGTACATAACAACGATAAGTGTATTTTTTTTCGTTTGGGGGAAGGTATGCTGTAATGCTAGAATGTAATTCCATGCCGATTTTAACAGCTTGGAATTGTATTGTTGGTGTGCGAATTTATAGGTTGAATTTTCACACGGGTTTTCATCGTTAATTTTTTTTTTCCTTTTTTTCATTGCAAAATACAATTTCACTGATTTGGCCCAGCTAAAATTGAAGCTTTCACTGTGTGTGTGTTTTTTTTCTTCCTTTATCGATGGCATACCGTGTCGCCAAGTTCCAATTCTTGCCAGTTTATTCGAATTACGAGAATAACATACTCGAATCGATATGATTCGTATGGCTCTGCAAAAATGGTAACCTATGATTTTAATCATAAATTTTGGATTACGATTCATACATTTACTTTCGCTTCCTATGTGTCACACATTTGCTTCGATGGAGCATTTTGTCGTAGAGTGTGTTGCGTTGGGTGTGTATGTGTGTCGTTTGCTTTCTGAATGATTTTGTACGCTTCGTGAATATTGAACTTCGGCTCAGTGATTTCTTGGAATGGAGCACAATACGACGCACGTCAACATTATTTCCCATAATTTTCGATAATTTGTTGTCGCTACATCTTGGTTCCTTTTGTATTGTGCGACCCAGGCAACGAGGATATTTTGTGTATTATTTTTTTGGACACTGAATCAACGCAACCAAATCGACACATTTCAGGTGTTTTTTTTTTCCATTGAACTTTTCGAAGAAGACATACTACGAAGATGATGCGATGATTTTCGAAATAACATTAGAAAAACAAATTGGCTCAAATACAGAATCCACTAGATAATAATCACTGTTGCGTGCCTGATGATCTGTTTGGTTTGATATATGATTTGACTTGCTCTTTGGCAACAAACCAATTGTGTCTTTTCCATTCTTCGTCACATTTAGATTTATCTTTTACTTTGCTCTCTTCACTTTCACTCGAATGAAGTACACAACTCACTACTTCTCTCTTTTTTTCTGGCTTTTTGATAATCGACAAGGATTTTTTTTCTCCTGTACGGTCGTTATCCTTAAGGAAATTTGATAGATCGCTCAAGCAGCACCGATACATAATTTTGAATGGAATAATTTAAAAAAAAATAAAAGCTTTGCATGCCGATATATGTTGATTTTTATGCACAATTGTATATTCGACCTTCTTTTATTTTGATACAATCTAGTGATATGTTAATTGAAAGCACTAGTAGCAATAAGCTGTAATGATTTTTGCACTTTGGACATATTTTTTTTTTAAATTTTGGTTTTGATTTCGATTCATTTTGGATGTGTTTCTCATTTTTGTGCAATAAAACACTCTAGCATACAATGAATAGAGTAACGTTTATATATGTTTGTCTAGATGCGATTTTGAATTGAAACAAGCAATTGAATCTATTTTTGTTGCTAAAGTAACGAAACGCTATACAGTACTAAAACGCCTATTAGTATTCACTGAGATGTTCGGATTGTATGTGCAGTGTGGTGTAGGAGCATAGTAGATTAGAAATGTATGCAACGGAATATCAGGGCTGTTGCACTTAATAATAACAATAGCAATAAATAAATAAACAAACCAAAAAAAAAATAATGCTAAAAATCACCGAGAAAATCCACCCACACGCGGTGTGTCTCGCACTTATCGAACGCAATAACAATATTTTATTCTATTTCTATCTTTCTTTGCCTGACGTTGGGGAAAATTCATCGAAACCAGACGAGGATGATGAGCCGCGCTGTGTTCAACTGACAAATCAACACAAAACTGCGATACGTTTTATAAGAAAGGTAAATTTGTTCTTTTTCATTTCCACTTTTTTTTGAAGACTAAATTCAGATACAAGTGAATCTTTTCAATAATCAACACAAGTCTTAAGCTATAGTTTAGTTAGAAAAAAGTAAAAGAAGAAGGGTGTCAACAAAGGGTTGAACAAAAAAAAATTACGAAAAAGGTTTAAGAAAAAAAATCTTTCCCTACAAACACACACACGCACAGTGCCAAAGTGTTTTGAATTCGATTCGTTTGCTAACGAAACACATTTTCGTTTATTCTTTTCGACGACGACGACGATGACGACGACAATGATGATGTCAACAAACAGATGAAATATTTTGTAGCACGACGAAAATTTAAGGAGGCCTTGAAACCATACGATGTTAAGGTATCGAATTCTTTGCTTGTAACTGTGATTGAACACAGAATTGAAATCGAACATGGAATTACTTGATAATTGGCAATTTCAATTTGGCATATTTCATATATAGGATGTCATGGAGCAATATGCAGCTGGTCATGTTGATCTGCTTGGCCGTACGCGAAACATACAGTCTAGGTACACAAAAGACTATTGCACATCTCAATCATGCGCACCTTTTCAAGTGCCGCCCGATTGAAAATCCAAATCCACTTTTCTCGCCTCTATTCTTTATTTTTGCGTTGAAATATTTACAAACCAAACTAGAAAAAAAAACGAATTTAATCATCGAAAGAGAAAACTAAAAACGGAATCAGTATTGAAACTTCTTTGTATTTATAGAGAATGGATTTGCAGAAAAATCGTAGTGCCAACGTGTTGCGTCGCGTGCGCGCGTTCGAATTTTTGGAACATATTCATTTTATTCAATACCGGAAAATCGGTTGAATGACGATCGCCTTGGGATCTTGTTAAAGAAAATTGTTTGTTATAATGAGTGAGTCAACACGATATGCACAACGACTTTTTATGCACTTCTATGTGAGTTATGCGTTTGTTTGCATTTGATTTATAGTCGTTTTTTCCCTTACTTTCCTTCCGATTACCAATTTTCTTCCACGAAAAAAAACAACTAGATACAAACATGGAAATATGGGAAACGATTGATTTTTTTTTTTCATTGGCATCCAATTTTATAGTATAAATGTTTTTTTTTTATTCGGAAATTGGCTTGATTAAACATATTTCTAATGTGTAAACTCACTTGTTCGATTAATGGTTTTCGACAGCATATATTATTTATGTGCGCAATTTGGTTTTTGCTTATAAATGTAAAGTTTACGAAACGAAAGAAAAGCAACAAAAATTATTCGATGTAATTTTGAATTCTCTTTTTTTTCATTCACACCGTTTTTATTAATAGTTTTTGTTTGGCTTAAGTTTGTTTTTTCTATCGGATACAAATCATTGCAAACATTTGCTACAGACTTGTAAAATGGTGTGGACGTGAATTGTTGGAGCCGTAGTCCTAAGTCGATTTTTTGTCCTCAAAATAACCGCAATAAATTGAAAGCATTGGTTAATCATATAGCTGTTCCTACGATAATTTGACTTTTTCAGAAAACTTATTTTTTAACAAAATTCCATTTTGAAAATCTAGATTTTTTGAATTTGAATTCGTTCAGTTTTGCATGACGAATGATGTGCTGCTTTCACTTTAAAGATTCCATAAAGCGTTTTGAAAGAATTGAGTAAAATCGCTCGTTATTAAGATTCAATCTTAATAACATATTATTAA